TGCACGATTAAGTGATTAAACTTTTGTTTCGTGTGTTAAAAATTGTTTTTAATGTATATTTCGTCGTTCTCGACGTGGGCGTCGACGGACAGAGCGCCACTGCTTCCGCCTCTGTCGAGGTGAGGACTACTGTTTACACGTTGTAACGACAGTATATCGCGCCAGAGACTCGTATATTTGGCCCGCATGCAGCCTCGAGAGAGTGGTTTCGAATGTCGGTGCAAGACAGAGCAACGGCGTAGCAATCGCGGCATGAGAACCGACTGCGCCTCGATCTGGCCGACCGCGCTCGCTCTGCTGTAAAGTGAGCGGGGGAATTCCGAGCACCGTTAGCTCACTGGTGTTACAAGAGACTGCTTTATCGTTGAGACCTTGCAGACGCCTGCGGAGCCATTCCAGTACTTCGCGCATCTCCCGCGCAGCATCGCAACTTTTTTGGCGCCTGATAGGCCAAGAGAGCCCGTAGCATGTGTTGCGGTACATTCTAAGTTGAAGCAGAGTAGCCGCGAAGTACGTGAATCGTTGCGACGTTGCGTGATGTTGAAAAATAAACAAATAAAAATTATCTCGCGGGTTTTTCCAGTTTCAGATGTGGCGATTTGAAACATGAATGCTGCAAATGTCAGGGCGGGATCAATTTGTCCACACTATTATTCCGTTCATTCGGCTCGCACTCTACACTGATGAACTGATCTTTTGATTTTCGAGACTTGCATTTTCTAAAGAGCTTCGTGACAACGCCAGTGGTTCCTTGGCGCACCGAATCCTGCAAAGCAAATAAACTCCACCCAAAACCACTCCGTTATAGTTCCGTGGAATCCTGAGGCCAGTGAATACAGTGAAGCGCCACAAAATTTTTAATTTTTGGTGGCCGACCGCCTCTCTACCATGGTCGGCTCGGACCAAAAAGAGACAAAAGCCTCCAGGAAAATCCCTTCCTTGGGAGTTCCGTGTAACTCCGGTGCCCGGGAAGTACAGTGAGGCGCCATGCTGGTAGATCACCGAATTTCCTGGGCAGTCCCGGTCCAGTCTAGTACGGCCAAGGCCGAATCTTGGCCCCATAGCTAGTGTATCCAAGTGTACTGCCTGGGGTGTACCATGTTGTAAACTCCTTCATCAAGGACCTATTTAAAATACAACTTTTCAATTGGCACCTTTGCCCTCAAGTAAGTATTTAATAAAGTTTCCCATTTAGATTTAATTCATGAACAACTTATTTAATTACAGCGTCTTCCTAGCAGCCTTTTTATCAAGACGCCTTCTGGCAAGGGTGATCTTCATTGCCTAGAGTACTTCATTTGTTTTTAAAGTTCGGTTCCAGAAAACGAGGCACCTAGTTGATACCTTGCGCCAGAACATTTTCAATGTTGTAACCCATTGGCTAAGACAGGCCAACGTTGGTCTGCCTAGGCCAATCGATTACCAATGTTGGTAAGCCATTGGCTAAGACAGGCCACTGCTGGCCAGACTAAGCCAATCAATTAACAACGTTGATAGGCCAGTGGCTAAGACAGGCAAATGGTGGCCAGCTTAAACCAATCGATCGCCAACGTTGGCAACCCATCGGCTCTATCACAGTTTATTTTTCTGCGGGCATTGTCACTACCGTAGTCATTACTGCAGTTGTCGTATTTTGTACGCACTTTGAAGTCATTTTTGGCAAGATAATGCCCCAGCTTCTTCTGTTATATGTTGCGTGATAACCTGTCTTTGAGATTGAAATGCGCATCAACATTATGTCACCTCCTACCTCAAACATAGAGTGTTCGAGATGATAAGTCAACATGAATTTTTATTCGTGAAGACATGGAATCGGGCTTAATCAATCGCTGGATATTTGTTCTAAGGTTTCATTTTTTGCGAAAAGTATTAGTGCTTTTTATTTATTTTTAATTTTGTCCGGTTCAGTCTCAATTATAGGCCGTGTTTTGTGGCTCGGCAAAGCGGGTTGCTTTGAGATTTTCAAGATCTTATACAACTGACAATACACCCATGTCGTAGGTACTGGGGAGGCGGGTGCAGCTTTCGGGGTTGAACCCTGCCTCTGCCTCACCCCCCCCCCCCCCCCCCCCCTCTTGGAAAGGTTTCCCGGTTGCGTCTCTAAATGGGCATAAGAGAAGAGGCACTATGCTTTTTGCCATAAGAACATATTCAAAAATCAAAGGAAGCGTGCATTTTGTATTTCGCAAAGAATTTACTGAGCAGAACAATCAGTTTCGGGAAGACGCGCGTTAGTTATAGTCGGTGACAGGTGGTAGAAGCTGCTCCCATCTCTTTCCACTTTTGCAGAACGAAGGATCGGGAGGAGGCGAGCTCCTCCCCAGCGTTTACTTTTAACCTGTCACCAACTACGGTGTTTTTCTTCGCGGACGTTCAAAATTGCTACAGCTCGCAATGCATACAGCGTTCTAAGTCAGGTGCTATTTTGCTCTGCGTGTGAAAACAAAAGAATCGTAACCCCCCCCCCCCTGGAGCCATAGCTACAGACTGTTCTCAGCGTGCACTATCAGCCCATTAAAAAAACTAAGCCAATTAATTATAATGTTGGTAAGCCACTGGCTAAGACAGGCCAATGTTGCCCAGCCTAAGTCAATCGATTACCAATGTTGGTAGCCCATTGGCTAAGACAGGCCAATGTTGGCCAGCATAAGCCAATCGGTTACCAATGCTGGTAATTGATTCGCTGAGACTGGCAAATATTGGCCAGTCTAAGCCAATCGACTGTCAACGTTGGTAAGCCATTGGCTGAGCTAGGCCAATGTTGGCCAACCTAAGCCAATTGATTACCAATATGTATAACCAATTCTCTAAGTTAGGCCAATGTTGGCCAGCTTAAGGCAACCGATTGCCAACGTTGGTAAGCCATTGGCTGAGATTGGCCAGTATTGGCCAGTCTAAGCCAATCGACTGCCAACGTTGGTAAGCCATTGGCTGAGATATGCCAATGTTGGCCAGCCTAAGCCAATCGATCACCAACGTTAGTAAGCCGTTGGTCAAGTCAGGCCAACGTTGGCCAGTATGTGCCAGTGCAACACCAATATTGGGTGTGCGATGGCCACATTGTCCCAACATTGGTCCATTGTTTGCCAATTAAATACCAACTTTGGCCCGACGTCGTGTGCTGTCTGGGGTGGTGCCATTGTCTTGGTTGCTTAAGATTTTATTTTCCCGTCTTGACGATAGAAAGGTTCTTGCCTTTTGCAACACTCTTCGTAGAATCCACAACGCAACATGAAGGCATCGCGTTGCCGCCAACGTCGTAATACAAAAGAAAAAAAAAGGAAACTACGGCCGGACCGTTAGCAACGTGGCACGGTGCCACTGCCATACTTCGCATGAAACTGGCATTGGTTCAGAGAATACCACCCAATCGCGAGGGATCATGGGAAGATAACGGTCACGTGTCGCTCCCGATCCTTTCAAAAAGAGTTGAAAGAGGGATTTTTAGACGGAAATGTCATGGAAGATGGGGAATTTTTCTTCCGCATTTCGGACTGTAATTATTGCTACCTTTCAGTTTGAGGGACCTTAAGTATAAATAGTTACCGCGAGCCGATAAAGGTCACGTGACCGAAAAAAAAGGCGCGCCTTACTCTGCTGTCCCCTCTCACGCCCAGCTTTCTGCGTGTTTTTGTGTTAGTTCTGGTAACGGAAACATAAGCATACAGCTTCGCCATGAACAGAGCGGGACAAGATCTAGTTATGTCAAGTTTCAAAACTGTTCTGGCATAATTAGACGGCGGGCAAAAATTTTTTTAGTTGCAATGTGCCTGCTGAAGCGAATATCTTAAAAGTTAACAAGCAGATATTAGATAATCAATTTGATAATTACCACTTTCCATCGTCTATCTGTCGTCCGCCATGATGAACATTGTTATCCCGAAAGAATCAGTCCTTTATTTCCAGTTTTGTTATAATTAATTGTTTATGCGCAGTCTTTAATACAATACCCCGTATATCAGCCCGCATAATCCAGCCCAGCTGCAGAAAACAACAATCTTATAAGCCACCACAGTCTGACATACTAAATGATTATATATGGTGGTCTTTATAAATTCTGTAATGCAAAGCAGAGCCAACTGAATAAGTTTAAATCAAGAGGCTCGAGGACAACCGGAAAATGACAGGGAAGAGAGAGGGCGCTTTGGCAGGTAGGGAATAAGACCACAGCGGTTAATGTGTAGGAACTTGGCGAATGAGGAATTAGACCCCCCTCCCATCGGTGGTCCAAAAAGAGTCCTTCATGAACCCTGACTCAAAACGTCACGTCTAGCCGTTGCGTTCGCTCCTTATATCATACTTTAATTTTGAAATAACGACGAGGAGGAAATGGCCTCCAGTCCACCTAGTCAAAATTGGAATGCATTTTCGAACAGATTGCGCGTGTGCTCCATTTGTGACCTGCACATGCTCGTTATCTGTGTCGTGCAACTGGCGCTTCATGCGCCTTGAAAAGAGGATTCAACCCCTTCTTGTCACAGCAGTACACCGTACCCTGAAGTGACAAATGAGTCTCCGACCACCGCTCTATGTGCGAATTGACAATTTCCAAACGCCAGAAGGCTAACATTTTCTCACAAACACGCATGCTGGGCTAATATTTAGTATAATATAGCCCCATGTTCACCATCAATAATTTCTCAACCACAAGCATGCAGGCACGGATTCATAAAATTCTGAAATCAACAGCCTGAATTTGGCTCCGCGACTTTTATTCATTTGTTTTTTCTGTTCAAGGATACGTTCTGAAGAAAGCGCGTCCGAAAAAATAACAGCGTCAGAGTTCTTTACGGTTCGGCGGCTGCCATAGCTGTCCAGATGATTTATATTCCTTCTACCAATCCTGAAATTATGCATTAATGGCGATATAGTTCTGGCGCTACTTTGTGTTAGAAATATTGAGCTATAAGTACCGCAATGAAACTTATTTTATAAATGATACTTGTATGCCATTTGGTAATTGTTCATAGGTGCATACACTTTCTGTGTGACTATTTCAGAGTCCCGAAGAGAAAGTTTCCTGGACTAATTGCTCGAGTCACGCTGGCTGCAGCGCAGTCGTCATTGGTGGAGGGACGCCTTCCTTCAAAACGGGATTCCTCAGTCTTAAAAAACTTCGGCCTTTCACAAAATATATAATTTCAGTGAGGGGCTGCAACAAGAGAGGATGTGGAGGGGAAACCACTCTACCGGCTCAAACGAGTGTGTCAGGTAAGAAAAATGAATTTGCAGGAACAAAAAAACAAGTATTACAATATGTTAACTGTGGAATAATTGCTGTTGTGTAGTTCCATTTGAAATCGAACACGTGCGCTCTGGTGGGTATTCAATTTTACCCAAAAACCTTAGGTATATCCTCGCTTCGCAATAAACAAAACAATTTCATACAGTAATTGTTTTCATTTACAAAACTTTTAAATTGAAGCATAATGAAACGCTACATATTGACTGCTTGATTTTTGTACACAGTTCTTTCACTTGTTATATATAGGGAAATACCAAAAATATTCACACTAATTGCTTCTTGTAAATGTATGACGCATGACTTATGTGTATGTTTAAATTTAGTTTCTTTGGCATACCTAAAGCCAGGAATAGCAAATGCTAAATATCACACCTTTTACGTTTCGGTTAGATATTTGAAGCCATGTATCTAAGAATTCGTCATACAGTTTGCTTACTATACTCTTTACAGATGTGGTCCAATATGTATATGTCCTATCGACTGGCACCACTTCAGTGTAATTTATTTTTACAAAATACTTTATATAAATGTCTACAAAAAATATAGTCCTGATTTGAACTCTTATTATAAAATACCATCTTATATTTCTTCATGTTTTTCTGCTGTTTCCCATCAGGTTAATTTTCCGTAGGGAAAATCAAAACTTTCCTCAGTCTTTTATTTTCTGTAGAAGTGCTCAAATACGGATGCATTCACCTGAATCGGCAAAAGGGCAGTTTCGAAAGTTGACGTTACCGCAACGTAGCAAAGGTTTTTTAGCCTTTCAGTGCTAAGGGCAGGGGGTTAGGAAGTGTTTGAGAGATAAAGGGGCGACAAAAATTGGCGGTGGAGAGGGGGGGAGGCGGTGAATGGGTGACGTGTCCCTAGTAACCAAAGTTGTCTGCCCGTATCCGACCGTCGTTCCGAAGCCAGAAGCTGCGCATGCTTCTTTATCCTTTTTTTTTTTACTTTTTAGGGTGGTGGAATTGGGGGGGGGGGGGGGGGGGGGGCTGGAGGAGATATTAGTGAGGGCAGTTGAGTCGGGCTTCATATTTTGTATATCAATTTGAATATGCATACTATTTCTCTATCTTTATTCTCGTTTCTACTTCTCTGCTGTTAAAAACCTTAAGAGAGCCAATATCTGCACCCCGTAGTCTTTGTGTTGAATCAATCATTCCATTCCTCAGCTCGGGCTTTTTAGATTCAAAGTTGCTTGTGTCCAGTTTTATCGATGATAGCCGTTCACAGATTTGAGCAGGTCTTCTTACAATTTTCATTATAAAAAGAAGATATATAAAAATAAGCGTTTTTACTTGGTGAAAAAGCACTTCGACGTGGATCTGTTGAGGTCAGCCTCGTACTATGACAGCGGTACTGCGTTTAGGTTACAAATACGCTTTGGCCAGAATTGCTTCGCAAGCCTTGATCAAAACTGCGTGCTATGCCGGTAAGCTGACCTCAAGTTTGTGTCCAAGTCTAGTTTCAATGATAATATACAGAGGGACTCTGAGGACGGAAGTTCCTGGAGGCGAACTAAACACTACTTCAAAGAGATTCCTGTCGGCGTATAACACAAAAGTTAAAGTCAGAGCTGAAAAACGTAAGCCAAGCTACAAATCAAATTTATTTCAAATACGTTTTTTTTAATAGCTACTTCTTATTAGAAAAAAAACACAGACTTCCAAGCGTATTGCTCCTGCTTTGCGCGTGGCGAGTTGTGTCTAAATGTGCATTAATACTTTATGACACGATAAGATACGATAAAATACAATTTATTTTTCACCACAATTACATGCGGTTAACAGGGCACCGAAAAAAAAAAAGCTGCAGAAATGCAGCTTCACGAGGCTCCGGACCCCCCATTCAGTAGCTACGGCGGAGCAAGACAAGTATTAAGATCAAATAATAAAATCCTTTATAATCAATGAAAGAAGTCAAATAAACATTTTGAATATGCAGTTATTTGAAAGTTCGGTTATGTTTCCACTACGATTGGAAAAGTGGTTTAATAAAAAAGGGCAAATTGTGAGCTTATCTCTGCTTTTTAAAAGTAGTTCTTGATTTAGGAACTAGCCAAAGCTGGTAATGCCTAGATGAGTAGTAGTGACTTTTTCTTTCAAATCTGAAAGTTGAAGAATAAAATGAGAGCGTGTATCTGCCGCATACTTATACGCAGTTGCTACACGGTAATTATATAATTGGTATACCCTAAGGATTTTGTATAGTTTAAATTAATAAGCTGGAGGGGTGTAAGCAACGTTTGCTATTACTCTTATTGTCGTTTCCTGAAGTACATGTATTGTCAAGTCGTTGCTCAGTCCGGAGAGATGGCCGCTTTTGATACTCACTTCTGTCAGTGCTACGGTAATTCCCATTAATTATGGAACCATCAAGATACCTGCCGTGAATATGAACACAGCTGCGGACTCATTTTTGTGCTTGAATATTGTGACAGTTTTAGCGTAAGAAGAACGTTAGCGTCTTAGTATTACGCATGGCCATCGAGTACTGCACGAGGATGACCTTCTTTGTTATATTCAAATTCGAAACATAAAAACTGCTGTCAATCAAAATATTGAGTGCAAGAACAATGTCGTCATCAAAATATACGCAATTAGGTTTATTTGTGAGACCTACTTTATGAGTCTGAAAGCCAAGACGAAGATTACAGAATTTTGTTTACTGCGTCTAAACTCCAAGAAGATCAATCCAAAGCGAATCGTATGTGCCTATTTGTGCTGTAAAAATATTTTATCCCCTCAAGGATCATAGTGCAAAGCAAGAACTGGTCCCCATGAGCTTTGTACATAGCTAACTTTAGCAAATCAATGTTGATGTGTTTCATAAAGAGGCAATGTTCAAGCTGATATATTTTCTTCTTGGAATCTCAATTCGATTTGGGAATGTCGGTAATTATTAAAACTGGACAGAAATACGTTGGTGTGTAAAAAGATGGAGCAGCTAGGGGACTGGAACCCTAGCGAAAACACCAGGTCTGCCGTTCGTATATATCATTTTGTTTTAACGTGAAAAACCGAAGAACACAGACAACATGAGGGATAAAAGATATTTTATATTTTAAACTGAAATAATCACCAATATGCGCCTTGATTCACGTATCCTAACTAAAATGAGAAGAAGAAAAAATATTATAAAAATCAGTCGTTACAAGCGGACTTGTACGGTACACATTACAAGTAACCAAATAACTTGTAATCAATAACTTTTTGAGTAAATTTTTAATCATTTCTATACAATAATTATACAGTAATCGCAATAGTAATCTGATTACATATGAAGGTGCCAAAATTTCTTGTCACCGTTACTCTTTTCCTTCCCTTTCTAATTGTGCCTTTTGATCGTTTGCGGAGCGCAAGTCCCTCTGCGTCTTGTACAGGGGTTGTGATGACGTCAGGACGCCGAGCTCTTATTGGCTGAAAAATAGTCAGAGTGCAGGCGAGCTGGTGTAAGTTGAACATGATTGTAAACCTGAGACTGGGGCAGAAAGAGAACACGACAGAAGGTAGTAAAAGAGGTGGCGGTGGTTATGCTAGAATGTAACCCTTTTTGTGAGTGTCCCTCAGCCAAGGTGAAGGGAGATAAGAGAAGGTTTACCGAAGTGTCATTGTCCTCTTGTCATGTGATTTTTTTTTTTTTTTTTTTTTTTTTTGTGGAGACGGCGTTGGAGATGGGGTATATAAAGCGTGTTTGAAATAAACTTTGCAGCTGAGTTTGAGACGTTGCCTCCTCTTTTACTACCTTCTGTCGTGTTCTCTTTCTGCCCCAGTCTCAGGTTTACAATCATGCTCTTATTGGCTGATTGAAGAAAATAGAGGGTAGACCTCAATACATCTAGCATTGAGGTCTACCCACTATCCTTTTCTCAAAGTCAATCAGAACTCGGCGACGCTCTGACATTATCAGTATGCATGCGTAAGAAGCAGACGACTTGCTCTCCGTATAAGTTTCCAGCCAAGGAATACTCGGCACAAATCTTCAATAGAAAGATTGCTCACCGAAATCGGCTGATTAAAAAGTTAAGCGGTTTATAATTCGGTGATTCTAATCTGAAAATGGACAGTGCGAACATCCACTTTTCAAACCGGCAGAGAAATGTATTATGTTGAATATCTGAAGTAATCGAAGGAGTAACGGCTACTTCTTCAAGCAACGGCCAACTACATTTCATCTCTAGTAATCGAGTACTGTTAGTGGACACTGTTTAAGCGAGAGTAATTGTAATTTATTCAAATACTTTTCTTAGAGTAAGGTGTACAAGATGGGTTACAAGTGACGTAATCATAGCAGAGGAGTAGGGGCAGAATTTGTTTTCCTAATGGGGCAGGTCCATCTAACCCACTGCCCTTCCCGCCTCCGCCGCCATTTCAAAAAAGGATGACAGACCAAGGACGATAGACGAGTAAGCCCAACCTAAAGCCACATCATAACACAAGGAAGTCCTCCTGAACAAGATCTGGTGCCCATCACCTTATCTTTTCTTGACTTCACCTCCCCTCCCCTACCCTTTTAGCCTCAGGATAAGTCGGTCAAAGAAGGCGACTATTTGATACAAATAAATATACGGTTTAGTGAACTCATTCCATCTCCCCTTCAAGTTCCAAACACGTTATGGCACCCCTGGCCTTAGAATTTCAAAGCTAAAACACATTGCAGTGAAGTCAACTTGGAAAACGTCCCATTTGCCGATCCGGAGTCACGGATGTGTGTGTCTATGCATGTCTACAGAAAATACAACAAAAAAGGGGAACTTTGATTATGACAACATAAATTAAACATCAATGGGAACAGAAAAAAATATTCGGAAATAAAAAGTTTCTTTAATAAAGCGGGATTTAGTTATTACTAAATTTATTTCCAGTCGATATTTCAAAATGCATATCAATTATTTCTTAAAATAAATTGCACTAAAATAATAACAGTCAATAGGACATGTACAGGCCTACATTCGTGTGGTATACTATAAGCCAAATAAAAGATTTATCCTAAAATTCAAGCCTCCAATAATGTCACCGAAATGTCAAAGATGCAAAGTTTGGCTATTTTCTTTTGGCCATTAAATATGCCAAAGCAGTTTAGTTCATACCAAAAAATAGACAATCCATCATATATTCACAAGATGACAGTGGGTGTTTTCGTTTTTATATATTTATAACATCGGAAACGGAACAACAACAGGGCATGAAAATCAAGCAGCCCAAACGTACCTTTTGCCTTGCTTCACTTAAGAATTCGCGTAAGACTTGTGGACAAAATCAATTTTTTACAAAATTTTGGAAAGTGGGTTTGTTCGTTCCAGAAATGGGGGCCCTAGCATAATTTCTTTAGGCAAATCCGAAAACCCAGCCCGAGACGCGTGATCGAATTTAAATGAAAGAACCCTGCTGTATTTGTTAAGACACATTTTAGTAATAATTGTTTTTGGTATTCGTGGCTACTGGAAGCTCCAGGCTCCCATTTCAAATTTAGCCTTCATTTCAAAACACTGTATCGTTCGAAGTGCTAGCGAGGACCTGAAAATCCAGTTTTTGTTTAACGAACCGGGAGAAGGTTTTCCGAATATCATGGAGACGTTTATTACAGTAAGTAGAAAGGAGCTGTCTCGTGGTCTTTCTAAGATTGCCAGTTGAATTTCCGAAATCTTGAGCTTTTAATAAGATATGAGTACTATTCAATAGTTTGAAATTAGCTTAAACTTGATATCTCGTCACAAATATGTTGGTTTTTATCATACTTTTGTTTCGTGCAGCCTTTTTATTAGTATTGAATCGACCACGAAACATATAATAAATTAGTTTAATAATGCATTCTAAATTTCCTTTGTATACAGAAATGGGAGTGTGCATTAAGAAATAATAATTTTAAACAAAACAAACTTTTTAAAATGTTATTTTTTACGACGTTGCTTTCAAAACCAGACCTTCGCTAATGTCTTCTTTAAATTGTTTCCTGAATCAAAAGGATCTCAGACAATATAAAATAAATCTTACAGATCACTTGTGCATGTTTTGACTCTGATTCAGCACGAAGGTTCTGCTAAATTATGCATTTCTAACTATTAAAGAGTTAATATTCCTCAAACCCAAGTTACAACAATATAAAAAAAAAAACATTTGTCTATGGCTCACCATGCGGCAGAATTCTTCGGCTCAAATTTGGATTTTCCTTGGGAATTTAAAGCCTTAGAAATCCCGAAGGATCCAAGGTAGAGAAAAACTAAGACCTTGGAGAAAGGCCTGATTAGTCCCAAGTTATTCCCCAAGGATTTCCAAGCTTGTGCCAAGTTAGGCCTTTCTTATACGTACTGCCTGGTTTAGCATGCATTTAAATTTCTTTGAGCCCGTGGAAAAACAAAAGTTCTTGCTGACATTTGAGACGATGGATTTAACAGAAAAATTTTGGGTGTAGAAAAAAATTCTAGCCTTGCCCTCGTTCCCTATATTTTTCAATAAAACGCCCAAAGCACATTGGAACACTTTTTTTCCAAATTTACTCAAAAAGATTTAAATGCATGACGAGACATATGAGGTTGTCTATCTTAGGTTTAGTTGTCGACACCTGCAGGTTTGATTTTGATATTGTAAAAAAATGCACCACATTGCTGCATCTTTGAGCAAAAATTTGTGTCCAAACATAAGAAGCTGTTTTTTTAAAAATCAAAGCGGCTTTTTTAAAGATCAACGAAGGTTCCGCGGGTGGGACGTTAGCACCAGAGGGACTTGGCTGGCAGGAAAGCGTTGGTGTAAATGTTTCCCGAGGTGGGCGACCTTGAAAGACAGGCGTACTTTACGACGCGGGGTTCTGAACGTGCGTTCGTAGCAGAGAGAATCAGAACGAGAATTTCGGGCCGTGAGAACGCGGTGGTTGTAGCTGGCACTCTTGACATCGGTGTAGATTTTGTCAGCCGAGTTTTGCGAGGACACGGTATAATGGTAGCGTCAGACCGCGTCTTGCGGAATCAATAGGGAGTTTTCCCTATTGATTCCCCAAGACAGCCGATTCAATAGTGTTTCCGTATAGTGTTCCCTATTGATTCCGCAAGACACATAGTCTTCCCCATTGATTCAATAGTGTTCCCTATTGATTCAATATTGATTCAACAGTGTTCCCTATTGATTCAATATTGATGCAATAGTGTTCCCTATTGATTCAATAGTGATCCCTATTGATTCCGCAAGACTGCCGAATCAATAGGAAGTTTTCCCTATTGATTCCGCATTCAGACAGGCGGCCACACCGGGTCGGCTGTCTGAATTTCTGAGCAAGAGGAATAGCTTGCTTGCATCTGAGCCCAGCTTAGCTTTCATCGTGAGATATACGCAGGTTGCGGTGTATCACGCGGGAATGAAAGCAATTGCTCCATGGTGAGAAGGTGAGTCGATTGGTTGTGGTCTTTCAACCAGTGCGAAATGCCAGTCTCAGGACGCGACAAGGATTCGCCGCTCCAATAAAGGGCGACGGGTAGCCAAGCATTTTTTGGTGGAAACGCAGCAAGTGAGTCGTTTGTGCTGGAGCTCGAGAGCTAACGCTCGTTAATTGAACCCGATCGAAGAACTCCAAAGGACTATGTCCCCGTAATCGGAACTTAATCCCGCGAGCCAGCCAACTTTTGAGCATGGATAAGCTAACATTTGAGCACCTCCTTCTCAACCTGATACCAAAAAGTTACCTTTTTCAGAATTATTTCGCGTACGTATTTTTTTTTCTCTGCGGAAATAGTACGTTGTGTATTCAAAATGAACTTCCAAGTCTAATTGAGTTAATCGTCGACGCCAAGTGACACAGCGAGCCCGTACACGGCCTTAATACGCTGGTCTTGCGTTGTGGTGCTGAATTCATATTTGTTACATTTTATATGCATGGACTTACAAACACTTTTCATCGAGTAATTGAAGACGTTAACAACGTTTTGATTAACAATAGAGATTTTAGTATGCAGATATCTCCAAAAAACGCTTTTCGAAACATCTGTTTATTGAAGTTTCAACTGTTACTCAAGTTTATCTCCACTCTTTATCCAAAACCTCTTGAATCCGCAAATCATGAGGTATCTTGAACACAAAAATACAACTTAGAGGTACCTCTAAATTGAATTATCCTTGTACCGGGAGCACCTATGCTCTGATCCTTGCATTCGTTGTTTAATCAATCTATTTCTCAAAATATGAAACCCCAATATTTTAATTGTTATTCAAACAAATGTAATACAACGCGATATTCAGTCATACAGTCGAAATCGCCATGCTAACAGATGAACGTATAATTTGCCTTTAGCTCTTAAAAATGTTACACATTTCAGTTTAGACGTAAATATAAACATAATTTCAAACATATGTCAATGAGATCGCAGGCGAGATGGTGTATATTTGCCATTTTGAGGACTTACAAGATAATGGAGAGAGAAACAAAGAAACATGAACCCTAAACTTCTATGGTTAATGTTTTTAAGTTTCACATTCCAGTCTCGGGTAACTCATCAAAATGGCAAATTTTTATATATTTTTATATATTTGCTTTGCCAGTCTAACCTGGATCCCCTTTATTAGGTTACAAATGTCACTTGTTTAGAAACTCACTTCTGGCGTTCAGTTTTATATATCACGTTGAAAAGCCATCCTGGCACAATCATAGACTTTGTTTCACCCTAACTTGAGAAAAAGCCTTTGCTACGTGCTGATGGGACCAATCAGACAGCAACCAGAGCGCACCATCATTGTTTTCGTCGTGTGTATGTACGTGTTCTATCGTCGCTGATGCAATCACAAATAGAAATGTCCTACCGACTTGCGCTTTTCACACTGTTTTATTCGTCCCATTACCTCGTAGCATCAGCTGAGTCTGAACTTAAGCAAAATAGAAATATAGTAACAGGTTTTAACGAATAAAAATTAAAATACCGAGTCTTATTATTTTAACGAACTAAAAATCGCAACTTCGCATTTATTCACGCTAATATTCCTGTCTTCATTTTGCTGTGATTAAATGATTAACACTAACGTTTATAGCCTGGGAGGTTAAAATGGCACAAATGTTTGAAAAGCAACCCCTTTCTTGAGTTGCGGAAACCCTCTTTTATTTACTGCACTGCATCAAAATGTTTTGCAGCTCCGAGTGCACCACGAGAACTGGCAGTCTCGAAACATGAGAGAAACGGTACCCTAGTCGTTTGGGAAAAACCTTTGGAACCAGCGGGCAACATTAATGGCTACACTGTTGCACGACGCTGTCCCAATGGAGAACGGCTGTCTACTGTTGTTTCTGGAGACGTGCTCCGCACCAGTCTTGGAGGTACGGGTTTGTTTCGTATATTAAAAGAACGAATATGTCTCTATTTAGATTAGTAACGCAAGAATTTTGATTTGCGTTCAAGTGATCCGCAGAAAAGTGTGTTCCTTACATTCAAAGTTTCGCAAAGCAATTTTTGTAATGAAGTTGAAATAGCGCGAATGATAAAGACAACTAGAAGACGGAGAGAGACAAGTGCTAAACGCAACTCCTTGACATTTTCAACTTTTCTACTTATTTGTGTTTTTTCCCATGCTGGATTCGATATGAGCAGTCTCGGAACCGATCCTTAAAATTCTTTTTGCAAGTCTACAAGTTTTGGAATTATTTACATCATCATCTATGTATACTAGCGTGTATCAAAGTTTCCTGAGCTGGCAATACTGCTCTGACAGTTTTAAAAATTGGCGTATTCTTCCGCACCCTTAATATTATTCGCTTTTATAGTAAACTCGGCTCAAGTAGAAGTTATTCAGCTTGTCTATATTGACAAACACTGTAATCATTATCCACCTCTTAAACAAGCAATATAATTTAGAAAAAAAAAGATTATAGTTTCTCGTTTCAAACACCCATATTAAATACTTCATTTTACTTGTATTATATTAAAATTAACATAAATAAATATACATTGTGGCGATAAAAATACGTCCCTGTGTTTTCACAAACCGGTGTATGATCCTTGCAGTAAACATGGACTAACCACAAATGAAGCACATTTACATAAAATATGTATTCAGAACAAAAAGAAGCATTTTCTCAAAACTGAAGTAGTTTTCGATCAGCGATACATAAAGTATAATTTGGAAATAAGCTGCCACATACGAAGGTGAGAAACCTTATTTTAGGCAGAACTTTGTTTATTATTACAGATTTACCCGCATTATAGGAAACAATATAGATGGTTGAGCGTGTTGGTTTCTAATTTACGATAAGTAAACAGGGACATTCAAGACAAACAGATGAACAGGCTTTCGAAAGCCTGTCTTGTCTGTTTGTCTTCAATGTCCCTCTTTCCTTATCGTAAAAATAGGAAACAATCATGTCTTTTTTTATTACTACATGCATCCCATAAAACTGTGCTTGTTGCAAAAAATAAATACACTAGGGGTTTTTCTCAAAAAGCACAAGTAAACTATTTGAGGAAGAATGTACCTACATCACTTTCTAGCGCCCCGTAACCTTTGCTTATGTTGGAATACAGCGGTTTGTTCTGCAGGGAGGGGGATTCACTCACATCCGGTAAACACAATTTTCTTGTGCAGGTTTACCACTTGGTGGAGCCAACTGCACATTCTGGGTGACGGCTTTTAACGAAAACTCAGAAGGCCATCTTCTACTAGGCAGGGCTGCAGAAATTACGTTCCCGAATCCAGTTCAATATAAGAAGTAAATACAGAGACCCTAACAAACCGGGCCACGCTAATAATTACCCATTTTAGGCATTATGATAATAAAGTATGACAGCCATAACTTTTAAACCGCGTTTGTGACGAATTCATGCATACAAATAAAACATTCGGAGTGGTTTGTCAATAAAACAATTTCAAAAATCCGGACCAGGCGGATTTTTTCGATCGCGCACCAATTACCTGGCTGTGTTTGGAGATTTGTGCTAGTCCTTTGTCCCTCTTCTTCCCCTTCTCAAGGGATTATTTTCATCATTCTTGTCCAGCTCGCCTGCACGTTTGAATTTAATTGCATTATATTCGAACCCTTGTCTTTGAGTGGGGAAGACAAGCGCGACCTATATAACGCTTGTTATCAGACTATAAATGCGTTAAAAGTTATATGCATAAACCATTATAAGGCATCATGCGCCTGGCATTCCCTGTCCAGGTGTATGACGCCTTCCCGCAGAAATAGTTGTAGCTACTTACATGAAAAGCAAATCGTGCGTTTTACCAAGGGGATTTAGACTAACCTCCTCCCCCTGTGACCACTTTTGCTACCGCAAGGGCCCCCACAATCCAAAAGCCCTAATAGCGCAAGGCACTGCAAGCACCGCCGAAAGAAACAAAACTCATTAAAACTTGAGAAGCTTTCATGAGTTGTCGTGTTGTTGTCAAAATGGAGACTATTACGGTTTCTCCGATAGTGTTGCTCGGCATAATTGGTCTGATGTTTTATTAGATCAAAATGCTGATTTAACCACTACTAAATTGACACAGCACACAATTAACATATCTAATTGATTCTTTGATTAGTTTAGTTACTTCTATTCTAGATTGATGTCTGCCGGTGCATCAGACTATATTAACAACACATACTTTTTATCTGCTTTTACTGTCAACGTCACAGAAGTTCTTCAAGTGATAAAAAATGAAAACCTATGTTCTGGACGGGAATAGACGGTGTACTCAATTTTATTTTGAAGGCTTGTTCTGATATATTTGCTCCCTTTTTGGAACATATATTTAACCTATTTCTCTTGAAGGGTACGTTCCCTAATTTGTGGAAGTCTTCTATAGTTGTGCCCATATTCAAAGCTGGTGATCCGCCTTTAGTTAGTAACTATCGTCCCCTTTCGTTATTTTGTGGTTTCGCGAAGGTTTTCGAAGTGGTTATGCGTAACTGGATCTCAAATTACCTCAGTCAGAAAATTAAATTACCTCAGTTCAAACCATTATTTCTTTTCAGCATGTTTTTTTACGAGAAACTCAGTTGAAACAAATTTGTGCTATTTTCTAGATTTCTCTGTGCCGATAATCACGAGCAGAGGCCAAATTGATGCCGTATATTTTGACATGTCGAAGGCCTTTTACCGTGTAGATCATACTCTACTCCTTTGCAAACTTCGTTTTTATGACTTGTGCCCAAAGCTTTGTGAACGGTTCAGGAGCTACTTCAGTTTACGCAGTAGTAGTCTTCGTGTTGGCAACTCTTTTTCGAAGTGTTTTACATGAACTTCTGACATATTCCAAGGTTCGAACCTGAGACCACTGTTGCTGATTTTGTTTGTAAACGATATATAGTATCATGCGTCGAGCACTGAAATGTTCTTATTTTTGCTGACGGCATAAAACTATTTTTTAATGATAAAGACTATACTGAACTTTACTGCAAACGGATATTGGTGCAATTTCAAAGTGGTGTAAAAAAACTCTTTGTCGTTAAATCCTGAAAAAAGTAATTTGATTTCTTCAATGAGAAACGGGACGTTTTCTTTTACCATTTTGTGCTTAAGGAAAATGTAATAGATCGTGTCTCTCTGATAGGAGACCTTGGCGTCTGTATTGATAGCACTCTATCATTCACTGCGGATGTTTCTAAGACTGTTGGAACAGCGAAAAGAAAGTTGGGATTGATCGCTCGGTTATTAAGCTTTTTTTTCATTTCACCATTATCTGTAGTCCGTCTGTTTCGTAGCTTTGTACGCTCAGGACTTGAATTTGGTTCAGTTAGATGGAATTCACTATCTTGAACGCAAGTTAAAATGCTTGAGCGAGTGCAAAAGAAATTTATGAGAATTATACATGACCGATACGTTGGTCGGAAACTGTGTATTAGTTACGATTTGTTACAGTCTTTATTAGCCTTGAAAGGCTATCAAGGAGGAGGGCTGTTTGAGACACTCATTTTCATTATGAGGTAGTGCATGGTACTGTTAGAACTGAAAATTGACTTATGAATAGAAACAGTCATGTGCCTTTCGGAGCTAGCTAGTCGCCCTTTTTTAACATTTTATCCTCTAGAATTTGAGAATCATCGCCATTATTTCGTATGCAGTCTGCCTTTAATACTCTATGCGATTAGGACGTAGCTAGTTTTTTTTTATTTTGGGAGTTTCAAGTCGGCCTTGCAAAAGTGTATTTTATCCAGCCAAGAGTTAGTGTAAGGACTTATTTGCTCTGCAAACATTGTATTTTTGTTCTTACAGATGTTGTGTAATTATGTGCATGTTTGTATTTTAAATAGTAATGCTGTCAACACGAAATGAGAGTGTACCATATAAAAGGCGTTACAGCTGTTTTTAAGCACTAAAAACATTTTTTTTATTATTAGTTTTATTGTAATAAAGCATATTCCTCACATACTCCACTCCTTAATAAGTTCAAACTTGTCTTAATTATTCAAATAAACCTTGCCGTCACTCGAGAGTATCGTGTGTGCAAGGTACTCGAAACCGCCGAGCGCACCCCGTAACCAAGTATTAACTATCATAACGAACGTGTGATGTAAGCAAGACACATTCTTCTATGCGACGTCCCGCCTAATTTCAGGTCTTATCCTGTGATCTCACTGCAAGTCTACCAGCCGCCTGCTGCTATATTTATTAACCCACTTGAACTTCCTCATTTATCGCAGAACTGCATTGACAAATGTGAAACTTGGCACCATAGCCTCTTTCTAAATATCCCTTCCAATTTACAGTGCTTGCGGTTTCACAATGACCTATCATTGCTTCTGCATATTTGTTGCCCTTGCCAGTTACGCGTATCTCATTTTATTCACTCTCAATAAGTTTTACCCCATGCACTTGTATTTATTAACTCTCTCAATCATAAATTCTTAAATTTTGAGCGTTTCACTTTCGACATTATTAAAGTTCACGATTGCTAATTTTGCAATACTATATATAATGTCTTGCTGGATCGCACACCTCCCCAACTCCTTAAATAGTTTTCTCGCTGCCAGTCCAGAGCACTATATCGTATGTGTACACCTGTATTTGTAATGACCGTTTAACCTTATTACCAGCATCTAGTGTGAGTGGTTTTAGCTGAGCCCAATTTTCCCTAGCATTTACACTAATCCTCCCAAGTTTTAAAACATCAAGAATGAACAAAGCAATTTATGTAAACATTTTCGACGGACATCCGTCTGGTTAGGAATGATTAATAAATCTTCAACTTAGAAACTCTAACCAAGCTTTATTAAAAAGCAAAAATCCCGACGTTTCGGAACCAACTCGGTCCCTTGATCACGGGTGACTGTTTTTGTCCCGCGGAACGGCCTGCCCACGAACCCGAACACCCCCGGGTGTTTTCCGGATTATCCCTCTTAACCCCGAAACGTAGCTGCTGGGAAGGGTTCCCGTCGACCGGTTTATGTTGCCACGTGTGCATTGAATGTGCCACGACTCCAACAGGAGGCGCCTCCGCCAGTTTTTCTCCGTTCCGAGGATGGAGCTGTTGTCAAGGTCGATGGAGTGGTTCGTCTTCTCGACGTGTTCGGCCAGCGCGCTTCCCTCCACATTTTTCTTCGCGATGTCGTAGCGGTGGCGCCGCAGGCGCTCTGGATAGTTTTTCGTTTCCCCAACGTACGACGCGGGGCAGTCACCGCAGGGAATTTTATAAACCAGTCCCTGTGCCCTCTCCCTTGGGGGGCGATCCTTTGGCAGGGGGAGAAGGCCGCCGATGGTCGAGACTGGCTTGTGTGATACCGCTATGCCGTACTGTCGCAGTACTCGGGCGAGAACCTCGCTTGTGCCCTTGATGTAGGGTACACACACGCGGGTGGAGGGAGGGGGGGCGTCTTGGGTTGAAGGGGTGCGTCGAATTTTTTTGATCGTGCTTTTTACAAATCCAGCTGGGTAGCCATTCTTCCGTAGGTCTTGTTTGATCGTTTCGATCTCTTTTCGAAGGGTCTCCTCTGATGTGCAGACCGTGATCGCCCGTCTGACGAGTGCCGAAGCCATGGAAGACTTATGTGTCCTAGGGTGGCTTGAGGAAAAGTCCAGGTATCGGCCTGTGTGTGTCGGCTTCCTATACACACGGAAGTCCAGGTGGCCGGACTTTCTCACTGCACAGACGTCTAGGAAAGGGAGACAGCCATCTGATTCGTGCTCAATCGTGAATTGAATCGCTGGCTCGATGGAGTTGAGATGTGTGTGGAGACGGTCGATCTCACTGGTCTTTACAACACAAAAGCAGTCATCTACATACCGCAGGAAACACACGGGTGCTGGGGAGAAAGTGTCCAGGGCTTTTCTCTCGATCGCCTCCATTACGAGGTTTGCCACAGTTACGGAGACCGCAGCACCCATAGCCGTACCACTGGTTTGTCTGTAGAAGCGGCCAGCAAAAGAAAAATAAGTGCTGGATAGGCAGAATTCCAGTAGACGGCAAATCTCGTCCACCTCAAGGCACGTTCTTTCGGAGAGTTTCGTGTCAGACGAGAGGGCCTCCCGCGTCACAGACACTGCGAGAGGCACAGGCACACTTGTGAAAAGCGACACGACGTCAAAGGAGACAAGGCTCTCGTCGTCCCGCAGTTCGAGGCCCGATGTGAGCTCGATGAAGTGTCCAGAATTTTGGACGTACGTGTCGGTCTTCCCGGTTAAAGGCGCCAGCAGTCGGTGCAGATGGTTGGACAACGCACGTAACGGAGACGTGGTGAAATCCACTATGGGTCGGAGGGGGACATCTGGCTTGTGCACCTTCGGCAGGCCATAAAAGGCCGGCGCTGAACCGTTCCGGCAAATGAGACCCAAGTAAAGGCCTCGGGACTCGGGATACCCATCAAAAATCGTAGAGAGCATTTTGTTTAGACTTGCCTGAATCTTGGCAGTCGGGTCCTTTGGCAGAATCATGTATGCGTCGGTGTTGAGAAGCTG